TTTGTGGCTCGAGGGTGGCTTAAGCCTGGTGGCTCTGAGGCACATCCATATGCTCCACACAGCTGCCTCCTGGGGTGGAGCTATCCCCTGGCGCTGCAGGTGTGGCTGTGGTTCTGTCCTATGGATGCCTGGGTTGCACTGGCTTCCCTGGTGTTGGACACTGGCCTTCCATCTCAAGATCCCAGGCTCCCTGAGCCCTCTGCTCCCTGTTTCTGCAGCCCTGGTGACAAGCAGCCTGACTGCAGGACACCACTGTGGCCTGATCTGCGATGGAGCGGCATCCGGGCTGAGTCCTGTGTTCTCTGAACTCCATGCGCAGGTGAGGGAGTTTATGGACCTGACCTGGGCTGCTTGGCAGAGGCTCCTGGGCTCTGGAAACCACCTGGGTTGCAGCGCCAGTGAAGAACCAAGTGACCCAGTGTGGAGAACCCGGAGGCTCTGGCGTGTCTGTGGATTGCTGTTGGCACAAAGCTGTTCCATTCTTGACTTGAAGTGGATTTTCTGCGCCGTGTGGGGCAGGAGGCCTGGCTTAGAGAATGTCCTAAAGACCTGGATTTCATGGTGTGGACCTCTGCTGCCTCACAGGGTCAGCAGCTGCAACTGAATTTCAGTCCATGTCATCAGGGTAAATCTGGACTTATCCAGATAGGGTTGGCTTAGCTCACGCAGAGACTGCAGCAAGTCTCTATACCCAGAATCTGAGGCATCGGCACTCACTATTGCCCACTCCCGATCCTCACTCATGATTGGTGGACAACAGTGTCACAGTGGACAGTATGACCCTCTGCCACTTCCTCATCCCCAGAACCTGGGACTTTGCTACTTTTAGTCACAAGAGATACTGTGGGACTCCCGGGGAGAGGGTGCTGGGCTACGGAGTGGCCCAATGTGGTTTTACAGCCCTGGATCAGCGAGACAAGAGGGCCAGAGTCAGAGGGCGGTGATGCAGGAAGCACTCAAGGCCACTGTCTCCAGAAGGGAGGAGTGGATCTTTGCCTGGGATCTGACTGCAGCCCCAAAGACAGACATCCCAAGAGTCGTCCCTGCAAGAGAGTCCCCATAAAGTCACAGCTCAGCTGCTGCCTGCTAGGATATAATGGGTGTCCAGAGCCCCACAGTGACAAACTGGGACCTAGCCCTGGACCCCGGTGGGCGGGTCCTCACTGCTCCTCCACAGAGAGGCCACACAGTGGGGACTCAGAATGCTGTCCACTTTGCCAGAGGAACTTTGGCTGAGGTCTGTCACTGCCCTGTCCCTGCCATCTGGGGTACTCCTCCTAACTGGGGACACTTCTCTCATCCTGGGGCACAGGGCTAGCTCAGCAGCCAGCTTTCCTTTTAGCCCATCAATTGTGCCCTGGTGGCCAACAGCTGTTTTTTCTCCTTAATTTTTTTGGTACTGGGAATCGAACTCAGGACCTCTCAGGAACGGTGCCACTCAGCTGAATCCCCAGCCCCCAGCAGCCTGATGTGTCCTTCAGTTGTGACTTCAAATCAACTTTGCTCAATTGGCTAAAACATTTTATGAACAGCCTGCCTGACTCCTATTTCATTTTTTACTTAAACTCTACTTTTTCAAGTTTTGAAAACATCCCCTACCTGGGTTGGGTATGGTGGCGTGTGCCTGTAATCCCAGCACTCAGGAGGCTGAGGCAGGAGGATCACTGTGAGTTTGAGACCAGCCTGGTCTACATAGTGAGTTCCAGGTCAGTCTCAACTACATAGTGAGACCCTGTCTCAAAAAACTAAAAAAACAAAAACAAAAACAAAAATCCCCTACCTGTTCACATAAATTTGTACACTGATGACTGGGTCACCTGGCTTGATCTCAGCAGGTCACCTAAAGGGCCCCGAGGCAGCATGTTCAGTCCCCAGCCCTTGGCGGTACCTTCCCAGGTGCTGATGAAGGAAACTGGCTCCCCAATAAAACATAATGCCATTTGAAGTTTGTCTTTCATTTCCTGAAGATTAGAACTGGAAGGGCTAAATACAGTTGCTTTTCTTCAAATCAAGACAGGCCAACGAAGAAGTAAGAGTTTGCAGACGGAAACAGAAGCACAGAATCGGAAATGTTTATCCTCTCTCTGATATTTAAAGCACTGGAACACAGACCCTCCTCTGCGTTAGCAGACAGTCACGCTGGAAGCGGAGCCCCAAGTTACTGCTGAAATACGAGTGCATGGGAGCAGAGCTGTGGGGCTTCCTGGGCCTTGGAGTGGCTCTGCCTGTCTGGTGACTTCTGGAATCCGCCGTGACATCTGCTGAGTTTCTGACCCAGAGGAAAATCACCACACCCTAATTTATACCATTTCTCTCACAGTCTCCATAATATCCCTTCCTCAGAGAAATCGTGTGAATGCATATTTAGACAGGAAAATCTGCCGGACAGATCATTTCACAGACGAGGAAGAAACCAAGTGTGCAATGAAACTTAGATGTTCACAAAGCCACTGCACTGGAGGAGAGGACGCTACTCAGTAGGAGCTGCTCTCCACAGTTCTGGGAGTGGGGGACAGGGACGCAGAGCGGGTCACCCTGCCTAGGGACCACGGGCAGAACCAGTCCCCCAGACAGTGCCTGCTCACTGCAGCAGAGGCAGAGGCACACCTGAGCCCCTGACAGATCTCTCCTGCATGAACTTAACTTGCTATAGGAGCATTAGAGGTCTTATTTACCTGTTCACCAGGGCAGGAGAATCCAACAATGCTTTTATTTTCCAAGGCTGCATAAAGAGTATTTTTAAGCGAATCTTATTCTTCACACCAACACCAATGACTTTGAGCTTGCAAGACCTTGGGATGCTTTTGAAAATATTTGTTTCTATTTATTTTCAAAAGCCTGTTTTAGAACCATAAAAGAAAAATCAATTTGCCAAAACAATCTCCTTCTCTTTTCCTACATGTGCTTGCATACATTTAAACACAGAACAACAAAAAATAGCTACAAAACAGTAGTACTGGTGCAGGAATTTACAAAGTAACAAGTATTCAGGATAAAAGCACTGGAGTCTACTTGCTCCCTGAAGGAAGCTCTGAATCAGGGCTGGTGTTCCGCTATCATGGTGATTTGGCATTTTCGTAGTTTTTCTCCACTTTTGATTTCCAGATAAAAGTTTTTAACTTATTTGGTATTTTTCATAATCTTATTGAGGAAGCCATTTTGCATATCACATACATCCTATCTGATAGGGAAAGACTGCACATAACTGGTGGTATTTGGCGTGAAGAAGCCTAGGGGTAACCAGGTCAGTCCCCGCTGGCTTTTATGTGCTGAGCCAGGCATGGCCGACCCCTTGCACTCTCTGTGGTTCTGCCTGCTTGACTCAGACCATTTTGGTCCTGTGATGCTGATGTCTTCCACCAGGCCAGAGGAAAGTTTGACCAGAAAAGGAGTCTACAAGCCAGGGAGGCTCTGAGTAGGAGCATTGGCACATTATCACCATGCACCATCTGTGTACCTAAATCAGAACGTCAGCCCAAGTTCTTCCCCAGCTCCCACATTATCTGTGGAACCTGTCTTGTTTCCACTCTCTCCATAGTGTCAGTCCTACTAGGGAATTACAGCTTCAGAATATTTCTGAAGACCAGCAAAGCACTCAGGATTCCTGTACCCCAGAGACACCCAATAAACACCTGACATGCATGCACCCTGACCCCAGTGTTGGGGGGGTCTACCCCTTCCCCGAATCTCTCAGTGGAGGTCCCTCCTCTTTCTCACTTTGGGGCGGAGCAGGAGTGGTCCCCAGCTCCACAATGCACATGGGCCCCATGCTGCACTCCCTGGCCCTTGCACACACTGCGGCATGGGCTGAGCCCTGGGCTCTGCCCTCTTCTTTCCTATAGTCATGAGAGGACACAGTGCCAGGATCCTCCTTGCAGCTCCCAAGGCCCTGGGCTTAGGGGCCAGAGTGTCATGAAGATCTCTGCCCTGGAGCCACTGTGCCACAGAGGGAGGGCGCCGAGGACCCACAGTCGCCCTTAGACGAGTCACTGATGCCATTACTGGGGAACACTTCAAACCTAGCTGGAAAAGCCAGAGCCCGATCTCCCAGAGGCGCCTTGGGAGCAGGCTTTGGCCTGGTCACCCATCCACAGGCTCCCCCAGGAAGTGTTTCCCTCTTGAGCTCAGACCTTGCTGTGGTATGGCACCAGCGGCTGGGTCGCAGTGGGCCCTGCCCTGCAGCCCAGGCACCCCTGCACCACGCCTGCACCTCCCCGGGCTTCACTCTCTTCCTGCCCCAAACTGTCCTTGAATCCCTTTGATACAGCTGCAGCTTCCATTGTCTCATAGCATTCGGGGCCGCACCCTTCAACACAGTGACGTTTCACAGCCTCTGCTTTGCCCTCCCGTGTGGTGCAGCACACTTTACTGCTCAGAGTTTCACAGGCTGCTCCGGGCTGTGTATTCACTGTTATATAAAAAATAACAGTGCAGTCAAATGCTCAGCAATGATATATAGTTGGGTGGTAAATTTTCCCAGCATGGGTGTGGTATTCCATACAAATCAAAGGAAACTGTGACATGGACCCTTGAGCACACAGGCTCTAACTGCAGATGCTCTCTGCGGACAGGGGACACGGTTAGGGATCTGCAGACAGAGTAGTGGAGGCTGAGGCGGATGCCACCATGCACGCACCGTGGGGCCACTGCACGTCCCCATCCCTGAGGGTGTCACAGCACCCACTGCACTGTGACACTGAAAACACTGCTGCCTTCCCGATGCCAGCACTTGAGTTCTGTTCTCCTATATAAAACTTTACAAAGTGATATTGAGTTATCTTAAAGGACGTGACAATTTACAGATTTTCATTCTGAGAAAACAAAGGTTACCAGTGAGAGAAATGCTTCTGGTCACCACCGCAGACATGACCGGAAAGCAGTGCCCTGGACAGGTGACTGGAAGTGGAGAGTGGGAGTGGCATCTGTGGCAAGGTGCACCCCTCGGGGAGACGCGGCGCACCTGGGGGTTTCCCACCAGAGCTCAAGGGGTCATTCTTTACCTGCGGCGGACCTGATGGTGGAGGTCACGTTGGAGGGTGTCATCACGGGGATACATTCGTCATCTTGGGAATAGCCAGCTTGGATGGCTCGAAGGTAGCTGTGGCTCCTGGTCCGGAAGCATCCCGGCAGGTCCAGGGCATCCATGGCCTGGGACTCCACTTCGCTGAAGACTGACTCACACACCGACTCGAACTGCCCGTTCATCTCAGCCTCGCTCATCTACAATGACCAACAATAGCACACTGGGATTGGCCCAGCAGGTTCCGGGCCACGTTGGCAGAACTGGGGGCACCAATGTGCTTTCAACAGCAGTGGAGTCTGCCCAGATCGGGAACAGTACACTGGGCTGTTTATCACACAGCACAGTGGTGACTGGCCAGGTCTCCAGGTTGGTGATCTTCTACAGACCCACGGTGGCTGGCAGTGTAGGAAGATCCCCGGGCACCTGGCCAGGTGTATTCACAGCCACTCTCCACTGCCCCCACAGCCCGTGCGCCTCATCCCCTGCAGCTCAGATGACTGCTGGGGCTGGGCATGGAGCAGGTGTTTAAAGTACGGCTGCTTTAGTTCTGTCTTCTTGTCATGGAAACACAATTTGGCACAGACACTGGTGTCCCTGTTACCATCTGAGCAGGAGTCCAGAACCACCAGTGAGGGGCACAGCTGCATGGGCGTTCCTGCTGCCCCAGGCAGAGGCACCCTCTGAGTCCCAGCTTTGTTTTTTTAAACTTGAGGCATCCTTTGATAGCTGACCAGTCAAAGCCACACTTTTGGAGCCTTTGACTTAAATATCAGTGTGGGCCACCAAGGAGCCTGGTCTTCAGTGTCCCTCGAGGATGTGCTAGCCCTAGAAGGGGGACCCCGCCCTGCATGCACGCACGGCAGCGTTTACCAGGGGCTCGGCTTCCTGGGGGTGCAGGGTAGGCAATGGGAGGGGGCACTCAGGGCACCCACTGTCTCCTCTCCACCTCCTCCAGGGATTACAGGGGCTTTGCAGCCAGAACTCTGGGTGCTTTGGCTGTGAGCTGGTCACAGCATCCCCAGGACTGCTGCGCACAGCCCAGCCATTGTGCTGTCAGCTGCCCACCCTGCAGCTGCACCCAGGAGAGGTCAGGGATGCAGGGCTCAGGAGGGGCCGAGAGAGTGTGTGGCTGGAGCTGCAGTACCACTGCCTGCTGGGCTTTCCCAGAAACATGGAGATAAGCCGTGGCCCCCACTTCTTCTGCCAGGGCTGCTAGTCCAGCTAGGCTGCTGGAGTAGCGGGGCCTGATGTGCTTGCAGCTCCTCCAGCATCCCTAGGAGGGCAGTTGGGGTGCCTTGGGGCTGAGCACTAAGATGCTGACAGTGTCCCAAGGCACGTGTGGGCGAGATGCCATGGCCCAGCCTGGTCACCAGGACACTGCAGGACTGGGAGGCCGAGGGACGGGTGTCCCCAGACTGCAGGGGGTAACCTCATTCCACATAGGAGGAAAAGCGGAGCCCTGGAGAGCGGTCTCCTAACAGCTCACACCCTGGGAACCTCAGGCCTGAGTGAGTTCCTGACCTGGGGTCACCAGTGTCACCTGAGATCCCTGCCTGCTCCTGGTCCCTGAGTTACTGCAAGTGCGACCTGGGTAAGGTACAGCTGCCCACAAGCAGGCTTACAGGATCGCTTTAAGTAACTGCATATTTTTTCACAATTAAATTGAATTCAACTAGGTGTGGTAGTGCACACCTGAACTCCCAAGCACTCTGAAGGTGAGGCAGGCAGATCTCAAGTTTGAGCCCAGGCTGGGCAACATAGTGACTGCAAGACCCGGCCTCACAATGAAAATAAAAAAAGGACTAGGGACAGTGCTCACTTAAGAGTTCAATTTAAAGTCATGGCATAGCACCGGCAATAGGAAAGACCTAGAGTTCTAAATTGTAAGCCTACAGCACCTAGTTAGTCTGCTTTGCTGTTGTTTACAAAGGCATCACCTTTCTAGGTAGAAAAGGTATGGAAAGGTGAGACTTCCACGGGTCGTTTTTGGAGACCACTTTTGGTTTACCAAGCAGTGTGAGGCAGTTTCCTCTGCGAGTCAACAGACCACAGTGTCTAGTCTCAGGGAAGGTGTGGCTGCTGCTGTCTTCACTACTGTTTGCAGGGTGGTGGGTGGGGACACGGTGGGACCTCCTGCCCAGTTCACCAACAATCGGACTCTGAGCACTAAATCCAGACAGTCTTGGTCTGCAGATATGGGAATGGCTCTTTCCTTATCCTTAGGAAAAAAGATCTATAGGATTTCCTTTGCTGCATATGGAAATGTAAGCCCATTTCTAAGAGAAAAGCAGCATCTAGGTAGACAAAAGTGATAAAATCTTTGAGCTATTAGTTAGGAACCACCCAGAGGGCTTTAGAGGGAAAAGCTGAGTACAACTTCCTGGCAGGCAGGATCTGCCACATGGAGACCACTGCAAGTGGGTAAGAAGCCTGTGGCCAAGACAGACTCCCCTCCCAGGCCAGCTCCACTGGCTCTCAGCTCTATCCACAGCCAGAGGCTGCAAGTCACTGAATTACAGATGGCGATTACTCTGCATTATTGTCATCACAGCAACGAACAAGGTGGCATTACTGAGCATCACTGTGTTCAGGCTCTCTACCTGATAATGGCCAACATCCATTAGGCACCGACCTTGCTGCCCTGCTAACTGTGCTCCAGGAGGGTGTGCAGAGTGGGCCCCAAACCCTTGCAAGAGAACATCTGTGTAAAGGTCTTCTGGCGCCTGGTAGGGAAAAAGCTCTGCCAGAGCAAGCCTGACTTGAGTCTCTGCTGACACCAAGCACCATGGCAGGCTGTAGCACTTCTGTTTTCTATTTTGTGCCGGGCTGGACAAGTGCTTGCCATGGAGCCTCTCCTGCCTGCAGCTCTGCCTGTGGGTTCCTGGGCCCCCTTGGAGGATGCAGTGGAAGCCACTGTGGCTACACACTCTCCCCGGCCCCCACTTTCTGGAGGAGGGAGACAGCTGCTGCTAAATCACGAGGATGGGCCGAGGAACTGGTGCATCAGTCATGGCTTATCACAGGAAATCGATGTAACAATGACAGTATTAAATGTCACAAGTTAATCTTACAGAGCCTACAGGTTTTCAATCAGTCACAGTGAATACCAGGCAGGACATGTGGCCTTCGAGCAGGGATGTGGACTGGGGTGCAGGCTGTGGCGTCCCCTCCTAGAGGACGGACCTGCAGGACTCAGAGGAATCCCCACCTGGCTCACGCAGCTGGCCTGGCTCAGGGTGCTCACGGCCCGCATGTAGCTCTGGTTCCGAGAGCGGAATTTCGGAGAGTTGTAGTTGGCAGTGGGGTCCAAGATGTGACTGACAGGCACCTCGCTTGCAGCTTGCAGGTAACTCTGGCTACAAGAAAAGAGAAAGTGAAGAGGCCATCTGTAAACAAGAGGCAAGGTGGGGCGGGCGAGGTCCCAGAACAGCAGAGTGGGTGTCCCCACCCACCCTTTCTGCTGTGCACCGGCTGCCTTGTGCCAAAGCTCTCAGATGCACATCTGCAGGTGGGAGCACCAGCAAAGTGACAGGGAGGCTACTCACAAAGCTGCCTCGCAGCCTGACCTGTTGTGGTCAGGTAGTGAAATCTGGATCACTGCACATTAAATGGAAGTGAAGAAACGCCTATGGCTCGCATGGCAGAACAGCGAGCTTGGCTCCCCACTTCAAACCAAAAGCTTGGGGAGTCATAAAGACCCCATCAGCTTTCTGGCGACTTTACCTATGGAACCAATGACAGGTTCCCTTCAGGTTTAACTTCTGCAAAAGGTGAGCAGATTATGTAATATGAGTAAAAAGAGCAGACTCAGGACACAGGTCTACTGCAGTGTCATGAGGACGATTTTATTCCAAATTCTTTAAAAATTAAGGGTTTCCGGTCTGCTATCTTGAGACTCCGTAGGATGTTAGCATGCGGGGAGGCCACAAGGCCCTGGCAGGCACAAGGCCCAGCTCAGATCTCTGGCTCCCCAGGCCCTTGTGCCTCGGGCTTTATTAGCAGTCTTCTTATAACTCAGTAAAACTCAATTTTACTTTATCAAAAACTGGAATAATATGGACAGAAATTTCCATCCTCGTGTTCTGGATCATGAAGGAACATTAAATATCATTACACAGGCCTATTTACAAAAATGTGTACAATTACTAGGGGAACAGTTCCGACTCCATTGTTGGGTATTAAAGTATGCCCTTTCTTTTCTATGGAAGTCCTAGGTATAATTTGTTTTCTATGATTTACTTTATTTTTTCAAGACACGGTCTTGCTAGGTAGTGCAGGCTGGCCTTGAACTCGAAGCAACTCTTCTGCCTCAGCCTTCTTAGTGCTAGAATTACAGGTGTGCGCCACCATAGCCCGGTCTGATTCACTTTACAAATGGAAAATCAGAGAAACAATTGTACTGTCTAAAGTTCATGAAGTGATGACTTACACATTTAAAGTCACTCTGTTAACAGAGACTCTTCTTTACATGAAAGTCTATGACATAGTTCAGCTTCTCCCTTCCTCCCCTCCACTTGAAAGAGAGATGCAAGATAGGCATAGGGGACACGGAAGGAAGGGGCTCCGCACTGCGCTAGCCCCTCGCAGGGTCCGCACAGGGACCTGTGCGTCTCAGGGTGCCCTGGCCTGGTGACTGCAGCCCACCCCACCTAGGCCCTGCAGAACATGGTTGACCAACAGGGCCTGGCCACCGGGTGTGCCGCTGAGCTGCCAGGCTCCAGCACGCAGACGTCTGCAGGGCTCCTGCAACTCCCCAGGAGATGCCCCCAAGGCTGGCAAGTGGGCACATTGCTTCTCACAGCTGCGTCGCACATGTGCGTGAGTGTCATGCAGTGTCAGGTGAGCCAGTGGATGCTGTGGCTGCAGCGAGTCACATTTGCCTTTGCCATAGCACGGACCCTTTACCTTCCCCTTCCATTTCTTGGACAGCTTGGATTTCATACTTGCATTCCTACCGATTTGCTGGGGTGTCATTTCCAGCAGAGCAGGTATCTCTTCTGTATAATGCCTCCACCCCATCATTCAGTGGTAAACAGAGGTTGGCTCCTAGGCTCCACAAAGCACAAGGAAGAACTCATGTCCCCGTCCCGGGTACTCAGGGCTCTCAGGCACAGCCTGAAACCACGGGTGCAAGGCCGGCAGGTAGCACTCACTCCTGGGCCCAGGGCTTGCAGTCTGACGTCTAGCTCTTCTATCTCAAAGGCAGGCACCTTCAAGGGATGGAGCCACGTTCAAGCAGACTCATGACAGGGAGGACATGTTACCCACAGCATGCGAGGCTAGTCAGCCAGTTAATCCTCAGAGTAGTCCACAGAAGCAGGTCTCTCAGCATTCCTGAGGCCAAGCTGGGCCAGCCCTTGCAGGGTGGATGGTGGGGAGCTTGGCTCTGTCCTGAGCCCAGGCAGCGTAACCCCAAGATGGTGGAATAGAGCCAGTTTCCACAAGGAACCAAGGTCCAGTCTTTTGTTGACACATCTGCCCAGCCTTCAGTACCCATGGAAGGGGCTCCAGGACCCTGAGGAGATCCCTGTAGAGTGGTACAGCATTTGTGGGTGTCTTGTGCACGGCCCCTGAGTACTTTATATAAGGACACCTAATGCGAGGAAGTGTAGGGTGAACGGCTGCTGCTCTGCATGGCTCAGGGGACAGGACCGGCTCAGGCCAGAGAAAGCCACCATGCAGCATTGTCCAAGTGATGTGGCTGGATGCCTGGGGATCTGAGCCCTGCGGAGGCCACGGCAGGCCACTCATCCTGTCAGTCTCAGTCTCAGCACAGTGCTCAGTGCACAGGACATCCAAGTTTTGCTTTTTGAACTTTCTTGGTTCTTGGAATATCTCTGACTTGAGTTTGGACAGACCCTTGGATGAGGAAACAGAGGTATGCGGAGGCTGTATTTTTAAAACAGTTAAATCAAATAGTTTAAAACCCCCCACGTTAGCCTTCTTTGGCTACTGGAGAATTTTTTAAAGATGTAGAATGGCTGAGAATTTTATAACCTTGTGTCCAAGAAGGCCAGCTACCCGCATAACACAGCCCTGAACTGAGCACCAGGACTCAGAGTTGTGGGGGCCACTTCCCAGGGCAAAAATGACGAGCCGGGCTCCTCCTCCAACACAGCATGGGCCATGTCCCATGCTCTCTCCAAGGTGACCCCGTGTGGTCACTTGGAAGTCCCTGAACTCTGGAGTGGCCTTCCAGCCCACCGGGTGACAGCCCCACTTCGGCATCCCAGTTGCCAGAGACTGAACAATATTTTTCTACACAGAACTAGTGGTAGCTCCAGAAACTGTAAAAAGGAAACCATTAAGCATTTTCTAGAATAATACAAAAATATTTTTGGTGCTAGTTTTTGCCCTTAAAGTGCTGCCTGCATTAGAGAGTCATTTGAAATGGAATGAGACGGGAAACCAATTTTGGAAAGCTGTAAGAGTGAAAAAGTCATCACAGGAACAAGAAGAATAGTTTTTCTCACATTCTGCTTTTTGTTTCCATTTGCAAATTGTTCCAGCATTGTTGGCTGACTTGTGGGCTCACAAATCTTATCTGTAACTTTCAATCAGTATAAAAACAATTTATATAACAAAATGCATAATGTTTAAGCAAGTCTCTGGACATAGCTGTTAGACTGATGTAAAAACACTCAACAAGAGGGACAAAAAAGCACATTCCCCTATGCCTGCCACCTTAGGGAGGAGGAGAGACTGTGCAGGTCATACTAAGGACCAATATAAGAAAACGCTTCTTTCGCACTAAAAATAAAGGACATCTTATCATTTTTATCAGCGGGCTCTGAGAGGAACAGCACCCATATATATATATATA